ATGGCCCGAATCAAATTCTATGCCACGTCACAAATTGTGGTCAACGGTATATGTCGGCTCCAAACCGTGGCCATGACTATTCAATTTCATGCCACTATGTTAAAGATTATTTCAAACTAGCATAATTCATGTTAAATAAATTAAAATGACTAAAAAAAAAAGAATTAGTTGCTATATCTTTTAGCCCTTTTTAATTAGGATACTTTTCAGCTTGAATTGTTTCTTGGCTTGTTGCATCTCACCAGTAGGTTAATCTTTTATACTAATATAAATAAGATTTTATTATTATTATTATTATTATTATTATTATATAGGTTAATCTTCAAAATGTTTATACCACATCCCACCCTTTTGGTGGGATGACATATCATTTTGCACTTATAGATGTTTTATTACGTAAATATCCCCAATCCCAACAAGCAAGAAACTCAAAATCTAACCCCTCCAATGACGATTTCCCAATTCCAGCCCTAACCGCTCTACGCCGTTGACAAATGTTTATCAGATGATCCATGTTCGAACTAGTTAACTCTCTTTCTCTCATATTTTTGTCGCTCAAACAATCAGTTTTATTTTTTCTATTTTATTTTTTAATTTGAGTTATGCTGGAGAGTTTTTGTTTTAGATGATGTCCGTTATGTATTATATAACCCACACTCATGTTTTGTTGAATAAATTGCGACATCCGAGAGCTGCTGTTGAGAACATTTCCTCAAAATTGGATGGTCAAATAATTTCATATATTGGATGCATTGTTGGAGAAAGAAAATAGAGTCGTTGAGAGGGGGCAAGAAAATGAGGCAAATTCTAAAATTTTAATTTCAAATAAAGGGTAGAATAGTAATTTCAACCTAAAGGATATAATTATCAACCCTAAATCAAATAAGTTAATGGACTAATTGAATCGATGAATAATCTTTAGAAAAATAAAGAAGATTATATCACGTCGAAGCCATTATTACAATCAAACTCACTCATAATGTAATTTAACTAATTGTGTCATTATTTACGAAATGAAATGTCATATATGAATTTGTAGTTTTTATAATTTTTTACAAGTGCCTTGGTAGTGGCCCATTTTGCTGAGATCTACAAAAATTGGTGTTATTTTTGCATCCTATAAAGTTAGTGTTATGTTTGCATACTGCTATTCCGTTTTAAATCAATAACTCTATCTTTTAACCCGAAGCTTTCACCGCTACAACTAGCCTAAAATCGCAATGGCTAGTCCATTTAACATCTAACTATAAATGTGGCCCTTGATATCAGAAATATAAATAAACAACTACCACCACCACAATAATAACCACACCTCAAATTTTATTTTTTATTTTTTATATTAATTCTTGATGACAATAATGCAATCATCATAAGAAAGAATAAAAAATAGAATATTAACTTTAATTTCTAAAAATAANTCTAAAATGAAATCACTAGGGACCATAAATGACACCAAACTACCACACACACACACACTACACACTCAAGGAATGATTGGGCCAAAGGCTTTACACTCATTCAATGACTTCTGTACCCCACCCTCACAGAAGAACCACCTCACCGGACACCGGTAAAGGCAGTTGTCCCCAGGCGGACCGTTACCGAGCCCGCTTTCAAGCCCAGAAACCCACCCGGTATCGGCCCGTACAAAGAATTCCCATCCAACAACAGCCTCTCCAATTGGGCCGCCGCCCCTTGGCCCGTCCCCGGGCTCAACACCTTCAACACGTACTAGGTCGGGATCAAACCCGAGAACGGATTATTCTCCAATGATAAAGCCGATAGACGGGTCATTTGGCCCATGAACCCGGGTAAAAACCCGCAATTGGTTTAAATCCTTGGAGCCATTTATATTATATTTACCAATAATGTACATATTTTAGTTATAAAATTAAGTAAGAAATATAAGCAAAAAGTATAAACAAAATCTAAACGTCACAATTATGGTAAGATAATGTTATATAAATAAAAATGCAACATATAATAAAAATATAATGAATATAAATGCAACATACACTGAGAGTTGAACCAGGGTCTGTACCGTGGCAAGGTTCTATTCTACAACTACACCACAGGTGCTTATACGTTATCATTTATCAAGCTAGTAATACCTTTTTGTATTATTTGAACGTATGAGCCTGAAATCCATGACCTACATGATTACATATTTACATTGACATCATGGCAAATTGCTTAAACAACCGGTTTCATATTGCTTATCACGAATTCATGATGCTTTTTGTAACTTAACCATGTGCGTGAGTTTGCTTAAAGGAAGCCTTGAAACTTGTAAGAACTAAAGTCATGACAGAGTCAAATTTATTAAGATCCTTTTATTCTTCTTATCAAACTACATTATTAAGATCCTTTGATTCCCATTCTCACTACTTGTTACACGGAGGAAGCGGTTCCCCACACAAACCGGCATTCCCCTCGAAACCCGAGGCCGGAATAGACACATTATGAGCCGGTATTTCCCCGCTCAAACGATTGTCCGAGACATTGAATCTCTTGAGGAACTTGTTGTTCAAAACCTCCATAGGAATCCCGCCACTCAATCCGTTCCCCGACAAAAGAATAGTGTTGAGCCTATATGGATTCCCGAGCGATTTCGGTATTTCACCGACGAGCTCGTTTTTCTCCATCTCGAGCCTCGTCAAATAAAGCAACTTGCCGAGCGTTTCGGGTATTTTCCCGCCCAAAGGGTTATTGGACAAAATCAAAGTATCTACGAATTCCATGGCGGGCTTGTTTCCGATGTCGTTGTCGACGGCCCCACTAAACATGTTGTTAGAAAGGTCGATCGAGTTGTATAATCCGAAAGGGAAAGAGATTGGTTTTTCGAAAAACGCGTTTAAATTTCCCGAGAGGTTGTTCGAGTGGAGATCGAGGTCGGCTATGCGGACGAGGTTCTTGAATTCGACTGGAACAGAGGAGTTGAAACTATTGTTGGACAAATTTAGAAAGGAAAGCTTTGTCAGGTTTCCAATCCATGAAGGTAGTGTCCCTTTAAGGGAATTACTCGACAAATCAAGAACCGATAGAGAAGAAAACGAAGACAGGCTGTTGGGCAGTTCCCCCTCGAGCCCTGTGCTCGCGAGCAACAGTTGAGAAAGGCTTAGATTTTTAAGCAAATCGGGTAATTTAATCAGCCGTAGAGGATTGAAAGACAGGTCAAGAAATTGTAGTTGCTTTAATTTAAAGAATTGAATTGGGATCGGGCCTGAAAGTTGGTTTCTTGATAAATCCAGCTCCTGTATATTCGTCAGATTTCCCAAACTGGAAGGAATTCTTCCTGTGAATTGATTGTTAGAGAAATAAATGCCTTGTAGCGTAATGAGTTGGCCTAGTGTTTGAGGTAGTTTTCCACTGAGATGATTGCTTTCGAAAGACAGCATTTTGAGCCCCGTCAGGTTCCCAATCGACCGGGGTATCTCCCCTGTCAAATAATTTTCCGACAAACGGAGATACTGCAGTGATCTGAGCCGGCCGACGGAGAAAGGGATTTTTCCGGTTAATCCGTTGCCGTGGAGGTACAGCATCTTGAGCGAGCTAAGTCCGCCAATGGACTCCGGGATTTTTCCGGTCAACCGGTTGCCGGAAAAATCGACGTACTTCAGATTCCCGAGCCCGCTTATGGATTCGGGCACGCCTCCCAAGAAGTTGTTCCCGTGGAGGTCGATGATGGCGAGCGAGGCCAATTTCCCGACCGATGGAGGTATTGGACCGGAAATTGCGTTCAACGAGAGGTCCATTATCCTCAGCAAAGTCATGCTAATAAAAAGGTCGGATGAGATTGGGCCCGTTAGGTTGTTGTTGTTGAGAAAGATTTTGGTCAAGTTGGCCAGGCCGCCGAGCTCGGTCGGTATGGGCCCACTTAGGAATTGGAGGTTGCTGAGGTCGAGGAGTTGGAGGGAAGTGAGGTTGCCGAGGGAAGGGGAGAGTTTTCCGGACATGGTAGGCGTGTCGGGTGAGTCATCATCGTCCGAGGTGTAGCCCGTACGGGTGAGGCTAACGACCCGGCCCGTTATGGGATCGCACGAGACTCCCTTCCATTTGGTGCAGCAGTCGGTGGTGTAGGACCACGTGTGGAGGAGGCGGGACGGATCTTCGGTTATCGTTTTCTTGAACTTGTGGAGGGCTCGTCTGTCGTCCGGGTGGCACGACGAACCAGGTTTTACGAGGGGGAAGGAAAGGAGTATGATGAGATGGAGAGTGAGGAGGGGAAGTGATTTCGANTGAATTAAACACAACAACAATTACGGATTGCAAGTCTAATTCAGATGTAGATATGAAAAGCCTAATCTAGGTGATCAATCTAAACAAGACTAACACATCATGGTGAATTATTCAAAATAACACAAACAATTCCAAAAAGATAACTCAATAATCAACCAAGAAAATCAATCAAACATCGTCAAGTCGTAAGATTCAACATCACCGGAACTAGAAATAAAATCTACTCTAACATAATAAATAATAAAAGAAAGAGAATAAGAATATCCCCTTTCGTGTGCGGGTGCGGCCTCCCTCCGCTTCCGTCGGATCTCGCGTCTGTCTGCGTCTTATTTCCTCTCGCTTGTTTTTTTTCTTTTCTCTGCTTTTTTCTTTTTATTGGCGGCTTTGCGTGATGGCTGCGTGTTTTTTTCTTCTATAAATAATGATGATGATGTGCGGCTGTGGCTTGCGTGAATTCTACCTGCGGCCCTCCAATTCTGATGCTTAAGTCTCTTAATTTAATAAACAAAGTGGGCCTCTAATAAATCTCCCAAGCAAAAGTCTTCAGCCCTCAAAATCCTCTCTCTCTTTGAAACTCCATTAGGCCCAATAGTGTTATCAATGTAATTAATTGAACTCTAATCAATTTCTGGAGTGCTCAGCCATACAACATCCTGCCCACAATTTATTTCCAATTCACACCAAGCTCTTCACCGTATTGCTATTTGAGCTCAATTCTTATTCCACCAAATCAACCATTATATTTGACCATGTAAGACCCACGAAAATGAACCAACATCCTTGTTGATACCCAATTTGGCTCTAATTAATTAAATAATAAATAAAATAATAAAATACGGCCCGACAACCAAGAAGCCGAAAATACATGTTAAATAAAGATACAGACAGGTTTCCAAGACTAACCGTCCGAAAGCCGATCAGGATCCCTCGATGTCGAGTCCGCCCGTTGTCAAACCGGACAGAATTCAAAGTAGTCGGATGACCCGCATATCATCAACAAACCGTCCCGCTCGACATGACAATTTTCGAGAAGGCTACTGTCAAAAGTCATAGATGGGTCCCACGACAATTATTTCTTAGTAAATAATAATGTACAACCTTTATTTTTCTATTACCCATTTTGTAAAGGGAAGAGGGCATGTATAAATAGGTAAGAATGAAGAGAGAAAATGGAGTTGACTTCATTTTTTCTTCTTCCACACAATACAAGGAAAAGAGAGAGAGTAGGGGAGGTTGGATGACTCTCTCCATTTTTTCACCTTCTATCCAAAAACATAATAAAGAAATACCATTTTCCATCAATTTTGTTCTTCATTTTTATACAAACAATTCGTATTACATTTGACGGTTGATCGTCCGATTTTCGACATCAACAGTTTGGCGCTAGAAGAGGGCTCCGTAATTTGTTCGGAGTCGACTTTCGCCGGAAAACGGCTACATTTTCACCGAAAAATACTCCCTCAAAGCTCGGTATGAATATCTATTTTTTTTACCCTAATCTGTCACCATTTCTGATTTTATTTTGGAGGCACAAAAAAAATCATAAATCCAAGATGTTCAAGAATCCTTAATCCTTTTGTTCCTCTTTTCCATGAATTCTCAGTATACTGTAACCTAAAATTCCCCTTGAATCTTGAAACAAGAAAGGCTTGAAACAAGAATGAACCTGATCCTATCTCTCTTCTTTTTTATCTTAAATTTGGTTGAGCTTCTCTGCAAATCTCAAATTTGGTTGAGCTTCTCTGCAAATTCAAGCTCGGTTACTATTCATCTTCCCTTTTCTTTTTTGCTTCTTTGCTGAATAAAAAATGGGCTACTTGCTTGGACATGATTAAACCACNAACCTCGCGACCTGCCAACCTCCGTCCAACAGCCGAGCAACGTGACCCAGCCTCATGTCTGCTCGGCCCCCCCAAAGTTATACCCGTCAGACCCCGAGGTGACACGGCCACAATTCGAACATCAAACCGGCCGACGCCGAGCTTGTCTATCCAAACTTCACTACCGCCGAGTCGAGAAGACGGACCCGACCTCGTCTCTTCCGGTCGACTCCACACCACGGCCGCCGACGCCGCCCGAACTTCGGGCCGGCACCACAAAAGTCAAAGGCCGGGCTGACACAAACTCACCCAACCGCCAGCGCCGACCTCCGACCCACACCGCAAATTGCCGACCTCGTCACCTCTGTCATCCTCGACTCTAACCCGCAGTTGGGGCCTCATCAACCAACCGACCTGTAGCGACACCGAACTCGCACTACAGCCACCGGCTGAACTCACTAACACCGCCGGCGGTCGAACTCGCCACCTCGTCGGACACCGATCTCGCTACCTCGTCGGACACCGAAATCGCTACGCCGTCGGACGCAGAGCTCGCTACCTCGTCGAATGCCGAACTCGCACCACAGCCGCGCGGTTGATTTCTTACCTCACCACAGCCGTGACGCTGGACCGCATGATGCGACTCGCCGCCGCTATTGGGAAGCGACGCCCTCAAACATCGAGCTAGCCGCTACCGTCCTCAGATCCAACTGCCGGGACCGACCTCACCGTCGACATCAAGCTCGGATCTTCAAATCCTGGAGCCCGGACTGACCGTGACCCGACAGCCCAACTCCGGACAAACCCAGATGCCGATTTGAAAAGTCGCTGACTCCGCGAACGCCACCCTCAACTCGAACGTCGACCGCCACCACCATCCGGTCGGCACCACCATCGCGGATCCGACCTCACAGTCGCCGGATCGGCCCGGCCCCGAAACTGCCGTGCAAACCTCGCCGCCGAGTCCGGCCTCAACCAATCGCCGACCTGCACAATCCAATCGAGATCGTCCCCGCAGCCACCATGGCCGACCTGACTCCCTCGCCACCAGGCGAGCCTCGAAATCACCATCACTACACCGAAGCCCGCCCGACAAATCACAGGTGCCGGGCTGGCAACCCAAACGCCGAAATCGGACAGAGCCGCCGTTACCGACCTCAAATCCAGATGCCGATCTGCAACGCCGCGAAATCCATGGATGCCGAACCTTCGGAAAACGAGCACCGCAAGAGCAGAGCCAGCAATTGTGAAAAATCAGCGATTTGAGGAGAGTATTTTCGGATCGGCGATTTGGGGAGAGTTCGTTCTGCTGATAAGATTCATAGACACGCGTGAGAGTTGTTTTTTCCCGTGGGCCTAAGTATTGTGACTAAATCAATTATGATTTGGGCTTAGTGATCAAAACTAATTTGGGCCTAGTCGTTCGGTGATGTAGACTTTTTTATTTATTTAGAGAATGTAAAGGTTTAGGCCTGATAATGAGTGTTCGAATGTTGGGGCCTGTAAACTCATGTACAGAGAATAGCGGGTAAGGCCCTAAAAACATTATAATAAATAGAGTAGATGTAATAAATAGAATTAGGGCTGGCAGCGTCCCAACAGAAGCGATGAAAAATCTCAAAAGTCAAAGAACTCGACGGGCCTTGAAGAATAGAGACGAAAGAAGAGTCAACCTCTCCAGTCGATAATGTTCTGAGACCTACACTCTGAGCCGTCCCCAGGTAATCCTACCTTCAATTTCGTCTCTAATACATATATATATATATATATGTATATATGTCGCGTATACACACACATACGCATAAATAATGATAATAATAATAATGATAATAATAGCATAATATATATATGTAGATATATATGTATATGTGATAATCAATAAATAAATAAACGCATATATAGATGTGCATGAATAAATAATATATATACCGAGCCCTGTCCGTGAAAACCAAACCTAGACAGGAAGGATTGAGAGAAGTTGGTCTGCTGCAAGCCTTCGGGATAGGTACGACCACCCCTATAATACTTCTCGATCTCGGGGAGTCACGAGAACTTTAAGTCATTATCCAGTCCGGCGACGAGCCCCTGCTCTGCCGGGCTGACGTCGTTACATCGTCCGTCGTAGAGCCCTTGCTCCGGCCGATGTCATTATCCAGTCCGGCGACGAGCCCCTGCTCTGCCGGGCTGACGTCGTTACATCGTCCGTCGTCGAGCCCTTGCTCCGGCCGATGTCATTATCCAGTCCGGCGACGAGCCCCTGCTCTGCCGGGCTGACGTCGTTACATCGTCCGTCGTCGAGCCCTTGCTCCGACCGATGTCATTATCCAGTCCGGCGACGAGCCCCTGCTCTGCCGGGCTGACGTCGTTACATCGTCCGTCGTCGAGCCCTTGCTCCGGCCGATGTTATTATCCAGTCCGGCGACGAGCCCCTGCTCTGCCGGGCTGACGTCGTTACGTCGTCCGTCGTCGAGCCCTTGCTCCGGCCGATGTCATTATCCAGTCCGACGACGAGCCCTTGCTCCATCACCGCTGTTCTTAACGCTATCGTTGCCCCCGTTGCTGCTTTCTCCGACGGCACCACGGAGGAAGGTTCCACCATCCCTGGCACCGGCGCCGCAGCCGTCTCCGATCTCCATCGAGTCGGAGAATCCGGTAGATCTCGATTTTCTCTCTCCTAACGGGCAGTATGTTTCAGATTTCGGAAAATAATGGATCGATTGTGGGCGCGAGGGAGGACGGGGCGACAGGTAATCTATATCTATATATATATATATATACTAGGAATTCTCGGCTGTGCGATGCACAGCTGGCCCATGGCATTGTTCAAATTGAGTAGAAAAATAACTATGACAAATCAAATAGTCCCTCAAGTTGTTCTACGGCTGAAAGGATCATTTAGGTAAAATTTTTACTCTCAAATTCAACCCACTTTTAAGTCATTTGATTTTTTTTATTTTTTTTTGTTTTGTAGATGCTCCCTTAGAATCCAATCCAGAAACATCAACACCAAGCTAACCAATTGAATTATGCATAGACTATACAAATAACAATCCTACTGCTGCAAAGTTATAGAAAAGCAGAAGACACCTTAGTCTTAAGAGGCAGATGAAGTTTAGACTGGTCACACTCATGACAGGTAAGATAGAGACTCAGCAACTTCCCTCACGATCTTCTACCCTGTGATCTAATCCAAAGATCGCAGTCTATCCTCACATTACACACACAGACAAGATAAATGTAGATGAAATGATTGGTGCATCATTTATACACACCCAACCCAACGGCAGCACTTAACCAAAACCAAAAAGAAATATATCAATAATTAGATCCAACCAACAATAATGTAAGCTAATAACGATGGCCTAGCATATTTATAAGTCAAACAGAAAAAAATTATTGAAACTAAGCACATTGAAACCATTCATTTGAAAATTAATCGGAATATGAAATGGTAGTTCTGGTAACAAAATGACTTGGTGATCAATGGCTTAACATTCTGAAATAAACTTATGAAATTAGATCAAAAGGCCTATAGGAAAAATACCACATGCAGTAAAAATTGAGCCTATTGCTTATATTACACAGAAGTTTTCAATTAATACCTATTCATGAATCAAATGCGGCACCAAGTAGAACAAATATTTGTGTATACCCACCATCAAATTAATCTCTAAGCGATGAAGTTGGTGGAAATCCTTGTACGGCCGTCACGTCTTTACACGATCTCAGGGGACCTAAGAGGGGGTCGGAGACGGGGAGAGATGGAAGGTGGTCCAAAGGAGGAGAGACGACGATGGTGATTCAGTGTGTTCCTATGTGCAGGCTGCGGAGGATACCACGGGGTTCTGGGCAACAAAATATCTGCACAAAAAACAAAATAGAAAGGGTGACTGGCTCTTTTACACTTACACAGGGACTCTTCCAAAAAATTTGCACATCTACAATCTTGAAAATTTATTTGCATATATATGAATCATAAGCCAAATAATTAGGAACTACCACATCAAAAAAAGAAATAGAAAAATCCTTTTTCTCTCTTCTTTTATCATCATCTTTGCAAGCACACACGAGCACAATTTCAGAAATGTACACCAAACATAATCACACAAAAATCCAAAATCCCTAAGTTTTAATTTCATCTCCATTACACGAAGTCGATCCAACAAAACCCACCGTCGCGTCCACCATCGGTTGTCAGAAATCGGTCTCGGAGCCGGCGGTGACGAAGAACTTGGCAATGCCGCGGGGGCTTTCCGGCAGCACAAAATCGAGGAGCCGTACAGCTCGACAGAAACGCCGCCGGCCTAGTTTTCCCTAATTCTCAAAGAGGACCAACCGAAGTCGGAGTGGGACGGCGTCGCTTTTGTTATTGTCGCCAGCGGAGGATGGCGTTTTGGAGGTCGGCCGCGAATTGGAAATTGGAAGAAAATTTGTAGAGAAATTGGATATATTGGGTGTTGGGAAGATTTGTAGAAGAGAAAATGGGAAGGAGGACACAGTCGCGTATATATTGTTTATGGAGAAGAGAAAATGGTAGGGAAGAAGATAACGTGCGAGAAAAGAGGAAGGAAGACGACGATTGTGCATATATCGTGTATGTACAAATATTTTGGGAATTCTGTTCCTTTATGTTTGCTCATAAAATATTATTATAATATATATGTAATTATTTTTTATTTTAGTGGGTTGTAGAGTAATTGATGGGCTGATTGAAAAAATTGTACACAGCCCAATAAAAAAAGTATAAATTGGCCCAACAGGTATATTAAAAAAGCAAGGGAGTTTGTAGAGTTGTAGAGAGCGGGACGAGCCACGTGGCAAGTCAAGAAGTACGGGAACTCTCCGTTATTAAAATGGAGAGGGATATATATATAATTGCTAGCTAAGCAATAAATTTTATTTAATAAATAAAACCTAATAAATTTTATATATGTGGCAAATCATTAATAAAACTTAATAAATTTTATTTATGTGGCATTAATACACCCAATCTCATTAATAAAAAAATATTTTATTATATTTTTTTGGGTTAATTAAGACAAAAATCATTATATTTTATGTTAATTAATTAATAATTATACTTTTTATTGAATAATATAATAGTTAATATCAAAATTAGTAATTATATTTTATACTAAATAATATATGAAAGTTACATAAAATTATATTTTACAGTAAAATCAATATTTTTTATATGATGAAGCGGTTGTTTATTAATAAATTATTTTTTTTATGTCATAGTAAAATATCTTAAAATCACATACGCAATTGTTATAATAAATGTAATATTTTTCAGCTAATTAATTGGTCATGATCACTCAAAATTATAAAAAGTATATATTTATTACATTTTATGCAATCAATATAGTGATTCGTATACAATCAAATCGTGTGTACTATTTATTTTAACCAATGATTAAATTTTAAAATATAATACTATTATATAATTTATAATTTTAATATTATATACATAAATATAACTTATAATACTATATGTTTGAAATATAATACTATTATATAACTTATAATTTTTATATTATATACATAAATATAACTTATAATATTTAATTTTATTTACATCTGTGCAAATGCACAGGGTCGAATACTAGTTTATTTGGATATGAAGTTTTTGTAATTTTTTTGGATCTGAACACGCGATGAGGAAATAGAAGATTGTAAGAGTGAGTGCAGTGTGATAAAATTATGTTGGGACCATAGTTTTAAAACCCGGCCTGGTGATCGACCCGGGTAGGTCCTCGGGTCACCGGTTCAACCGTCGGGTCACCGGGTCAATTACTGAATCGAATAATTAATTTTAAAATTTTTAAAATTATATATAGAGTATTTTTGTTATATAAATATACATAAAAGTAACAAAATTAAATGTTGTGTATAAAATTTGAATATTAAAGTGTTAATAATATGTATCTTATGATAAATATTTACCATATAAACATATGTACATAGTTTTATTTTTAAAAAACAAAAAAAATAAAAAAATATAAAAAATATACCGGGTCGGCCGGGTTTTTGCCGGGTTTGACCGGGTCCTTTGGTTGCCCGGTCCAAATACTCCACCCAGATCGGTTCCGGCTCCGAGCTGACCCGCCGGGCCAGTCCGGGTCGACCCGCCGGGCCGGTCCGGGTCACAAAACACTGGTTGGGACTTAACAAGGAAACTCAAATATGCTTTGAGGATTTTTGAAGAATTAATAGATAGATAGATATAGATTAGTGTTAGAAGGAATAAGACTTGGAAAATAATTAGGATTCGTGAAGCAAAAAGATATAGAGGATAATTAGGATTACTTAATCTAATGGGATAAGTATTATTAACATTTGAAAAAAAAAAAGTCTTATTTACCACTTATAAATACACGATGTCCCAAAAAAAAATTACGATTAAAGAGCTCCATCATAAATTTCCTCACAATTCATTAAAATTGAAGAAGAGTCTGAACAACTTCATATCTATGATGTCCGACGAGAATGGAGCAAGGTGAGAAATTTGGGGTACGCTGGCCATGGTGACATGGAGTTTTTCTTTTCTGACAACCGTGGTCATGGACCCGGCCTTTCACAAATTCATCCAACAGCTTTGGAAACTGGAAACACTTAATGGGATTAAAGAATGGATTATAGAATGGCTTATCAAACAACAAGTTGGAGAGGATGGAATGCAAGGTATCATTTTTTGTTTAGCTTTTCCCCCAGTGATTGCCATTTTGGTTTGGTATATTCGCTTCTTGCTTGAGCTAGCCGACTCGGAGAAAAGTAGCCGAATACACTTGAAACTTACTCCTAAGGCGAGGTGCTTTTGCGAGAGCATGTTTGTCGTGACATGCGCGGTGATGACTCATCGCATTCAGGATTTATACATTCTTATTGCAAAGTTTTGTGCTTGCTTTCATATTATTCCTCTGGTCAATCTTATTGGGGCGAACGACAACTTCGGATTTGTTGATTGCTTCAAGGCTTTGTTGCTTGAGGTGGGGCTATGCATTGGCAAACAATATTGTGCAGATTACGCTCCACTAGTCATTGCTATTGTTTTAATCCTTGCTTTGTATCTCAAGGACTAATAAGTATAGATACCAGTAGTTTGCTAATCTCTTTGTTGAAAGAGGAAATAAGCAAGCAGTATCTGTATCTCCACATTGTTTTCATAATTTCTGTCGTTAAATGTCTGACTGGATTTAGTATTGAGAATGAATTTTATCTCTTCTAATTCCATGGATTTAGTGTCTTAAATCACCCACTAATACAACATGAGTGCCAGTGGTAGGAATGGTGGCAAAGTGAACCAACAACACAGCAAACCAATAGGCGGAGGAGCCAAAATCTGTGCAAAAACGAATAAGAAATTGACCCGTGTAAGAAACTTGGAATATAATCCCCATCCTCAATACCAGAAAAGCAAGAAATTGATGAACTTTACACATCTACTAATACACCTTCATGTGATTAAGATAAAATCTAATACAATTGTTTTGTCCGCAACAAAACAGTGAGAGTTAATAATGAAAAGGGTCAATTGCAGTTAGAAGAAAATGCCAAACAAACCACATTAGTTTGTTCTTCAATGGCTTACCCAAAGGCACAAAAAAGGATTGACAGGATGGATTTAGAGAAAGCTGCCACATGAGTTGACTCGGTTCATAAACTGGAAATTTTTCTATATTGCACAAGTGAAGAGAGCAGAAGATCAGAAAAATGGCTCCATAAGGATAGCTATATATCTTTACTTGTTTTTTCGTCTTCCTTCTTTTCCTTTCTCAAATAGGCCTCTATTTCCTTTAGGGATATTGGTATTGACTCATTCCATCCTTTCCCTCCCCATCCCAATGCGCAAAAATAAAGCAAGAGGGCAAGAACATGTGCTTGAATATGATGAACAAGTAGCTTCTGTAGTATCTGTAGATTTTTATCATCTATATTCAAGGGTCTACTCTTTAAATTATAAAACTTGCTAGGCAAAAGAAAAACGATGGGATTGCTAAAAGTAGTTGAGGTAGAAGATGGACAACATAAGGGTACCTAACAGTTCTGCAATAATTATCAGGTCTAGAATTTATATAGGAAGCTAGAATGAAATGACTAAATTCTTTTTCCACGAGGATGTACCTCTTTTTTGTGTCATAGTCGACATTGCGGGCACAAGCACGCTCAATTGAATCAGTCTTCCTATTACTACTCACCGCCCCTCCCTTGGACAATTTTGCCCCTTGCATTTTTTTCAAAAAGTAAAAAAAAAAAAACCCGTCCGGCTAGCGAAACCGGACGGCTTTTAGCCCGTCCGGCCGCCGGAACCGGACGGCTTTTAGCCCGTCCGGTCGGCCGGTTCGGACGGCATAAAAGCCGTCCGGTTTCGGCGGCCGGACAGGCTAAAAGCCGTCCGGTTTCGCCGGCCGGAC